CTAGATACTGTGAAATATTATTATTAGGTGGCAGTGTGTTTGCAAATACTAATAAGATAGCGGAATCATCATAAAATATATATTGCCGAGCAGGAAAACCAGTAGCAAACACAAAATCCTAATAATAATATTTCACAGTATCTAGGCAACATAAATATGGCTTGAAACCCGGTTTAACGGCACGCACGAATGAAGCGGATAGTCATCAGTTCTAATGCAGGACCTAGTTACTTTTCGAAGCATTCGGTTAAACTTGACTTCCATTTAAAACATGAAGATTTCGAATTCAAAGCAGTCTAGAAACCATAATAGGGGTTAACTATGCAAGCATAGAAAGATAATTTACGCAAACTTTTGATTATCAGTCTCACGATGTTGACCATTTCACATACGTGCGCACAACTGCCAGCCGTGTTATATGAGGACAATTCAATCGTTTGACTGTGGACAGCATCGAAATGGCTCTGCCAATAACTTTCTTTGCTATGAGGTGACTGGTCTTGAAAGGGAGAGTAAAATAAACCCAGAGGATTCAAATGCTGGTAGTCTGTCTAGAAGAGAGAACATTTTTCCAGAAGCCAAAATGTGTGTGACTGCTTGTGCATTGACTAAGTATGGGGTGTTTGCATGCATCCGGAACGCTATTTCAGTCTCCCCACACAGTGTCAGTTTACTCACATTTGATACGGTCTAAACCGAGGGACTTGCCTAACCCAAGCTCTGATTTGTAAGTACGACGCTTTGTACTTGCAAGGTAAGCACATACGCGAAATTGCTGAACTTTTTCCAGATTCGCAGTCCCCACAGAGTGTACCTGAAGCAATAAAGATATCAACGAGACCGAACACGCCTATGCGGGGCAGCAATGCTTTTTGTATTTAGAAGAACTTGTTGTCTCTTTACAAAGTGAGTGTGGGCCTACCAAATAAACGATGATGGGCAACTCCAGAAACTGACCTGTCACGGACACATTTATTTATGAGAACCAGCATCTGTCTGAACTTTCAAGTCTTGATTACGCATCCTTCAATGCTTTGATATTCTGCTACAATTATGTCGCTATATATTTTGCAATACGTGAGTAGACGAAATTATGCCGCACCATATTTTCATAAATACTTATCCCGCAACACCCCAAAACTGCAACCAAAAAGTTACTCAGTAGGTTCAAGCGTGTGACACGTTACCTGACTGGCGGATTAGTCGATCGTCACAACCAGGACAGTTACTGGGTCGCCGTTCGATGAGTCGGGCACACCAATCGCATCGCTCAAGTGTGAACACGTTCGCCCGTTCAGACGTGAAAATTGAGAGTAGTGCTTACACGCTCGTCACGCAAGGCAGATGTCCGGGGTTCAAATCCCGGCATGGCTATTGGATGTGAACTGCTGATGAGCTCTGATAAGACCGGAGCTCGAATCGAGTGCCTCCCTTTGGTGTGGAATCACCGGAATAATTTTCGAATCGAGTGCCTCCCTTTGGTGTGAAAAATCACCGGAATAATTAAGCCCGAATAGGAGAACGACCGTTTAAAATAGAATGGTGTGACTATGAACAAAATACCTACCTCGCAAAACCCCAGAACGGAAACCTAGAAATATATCAGAATAATTTGTCTGATTCCCAAATTTTTTGATTGTCCAAAATATTTCCGGATTTTGGTTCCCATGCAAATTCCATGAACTATCATGAGTATTGTATGCTATTTTCAAATACAGTGGGTCTTCTTTTTTCCCAATGGGGTGGAATAAATTTAATGGCACCAGATAGCACAGGGCATTTAATCTAAGCTGAGAAAAAGATACTTAGTCCGTAATCGTAAAAAGATCGCCATCTTGTGCGAAGTTTCCAATCCACAATGGAGCCAGATAGCAGTGGACATTTATTCTAAGCTGAGAAAAAGATACTCACTCCGTAACCGTAAAAAAATCGCCATCTTGTGCGAAGTTTCCAATCCATTCAACTCCATCGGGACTTGGACGAAATTCAAGAATATCTTGTGCGATACTTTGGTAGTACTCACTGTGCATACTAACTCTTGAAATAAAACCAGGTTGATTTTAGTCCGGTTCGAGTAAATTCAACTCGGCTATTCAATGAAGCATTAGTTCTGAAGTTCCCTCCTATCACCAAACAATCAAAATTTGCCATCTTCTGACCAGCCCTGCTTTCGGATAATCGATGCAGTACTGCGATGTCTGAAGGCTCAACTGAGCTTCTTCATGAAAGTGAAGTAAATCTATGCCGAAATATCAGGAAATACTGTACACTTGTTTCATCCTTTTTGTAAATTATCGGCAATGTGATTCCCACAAAGCAACGTGAAAATTCAAACTCATAGGCTTTTAGCCAGCAATTCAATTCTGAACATTTCAGCCAGGGGAGGCTGTTAAGCGTTCTGGTTAACTCACAGTTGGGATATGACGCCAATTAACTTTCACTCACTCCACGCACCTCACCAAGTCACGGCATGGCTGGCTCCTCAAGTGATGATTTCGCAGATAAAGGGTTAAAAATCGTGCGGATTGTTCTTCCATCTGAGTATAAGCAGGGCAGAAACGTGACTGGAAGTCCGAAAATGGAACGTTTACGGTAGGGCAGACAGTCAACACGTGTTGTGGATTGCGTGATTGACGAATGAGTTGCTCTATTCTATGTCTATGTGTTAAGTAATAACAGTTCGTATCAACAGCTGCACACCGTCCGTTGTTTCATTACCAGTCGTGAATGTCCGTCTGTGCAGTGTTTCCAACCTTTTCCAGATAGACTGGCTCTCGATTTAGAAATTTTCACAAGTACTGGAGAGGAGAAGAGCACAGTAGGAAGAAGAGCCCAAAACACGGCTTACTCGCGATGTTTTTTGGTGGCCAGTGAATTAAATCAACGAGTTCTGTTCAAGGTCATAGAAACTGAACTAAGTGTGCCACGCATTCAAAATACCGTTAATTCCACCAAATCCAAGTTGTAGGAGATTACAGTTGGTCAAGTATATCCTAGTCAGTCTATGAATTTCTTGGATACACGAACATTTGTTGGTGACTGCGAAAACACCTGAGGGTTGTACAGAGTGTGATGCCCTCTGTTTTCGTATACTCCCTACGTTTTACGACGTTCTGTTGAGATTGTACAAATAGGTATGGCCTACATGTGGTAGTTATCGAATCCCGTCAGGAGAAGCTTATACAAAATTTCATAAATTTGCACATTTTTCGGACTACAAAGTGATAACGCAAAGCATGGATAAAACTCATTGCAGGCGTTGTTGCTGCAGAAGCCGTTGAGCACTGAATAAAATATCTGGCTGGAGTATTATTTTTGTATACGAGTTCTGGGATGCGATAAGTAATTGGCTGTCTTACTAGTTCTCCACAGAAAAAGCGTAACACAGTAAAAAATGTAGTTTCAGTCACATTCATGGCCAAGAGCGTTAAACTACATTTTGAATGGATATGCTGGATGGAAGGACAAAGGTAGCATTTTCCTGGTTGTCCGAGGCTTTTAGGACCATTCAGGGCTTGTATTTCAGGATCGGGGGACTGCCTTGGTATCCGGCAGTTCAGTCTTATTCGTCGAAATAATGAAAAACTAAGTCAGCCATTTTTCCTAGGCAGACAGAGATTCAGCTTGGCCTCATGGCCCAAGGTTGTTTTGGCCCAAACACGCAAAGGATCTGTGCAAGTTTGATCAGCCATCACCACAGCTAATCATTTTTTGTTTTTTTAGGCCTGTCGGCGAGATGCGCGGAGATACTTGGTCACCAGAAATCAATATTTTGGACAAACTAACATCTGACTAAATCCCGCCAACGGGAGCCGGTTTGTTCAATGACTATTTGGTGTGTTTTGAGGAAGCCCGATGCGTACTGACTGTAGTTCTGATTTCATTCTGAAGTATATTTCTGTTGCATATTCTGAAAGAAAATGAGTTCACTACGTAAACAACTCTCGAGAATGGCGTAAATGCTATTCTGAAAGATTTACTGGTCAGGAACGAGGTTTAAATGTGGAATCAAATTCCATTGTGGAGGAACGTGCTTGTCCGCCATTTACATCATAAATGTTCTCAGTTAATAAAACACTACAATCTCTTTAACCCACGAGGACCGCCATACTATGAGTTTCTTCTACAGACTTCCAAAAGACAACCTACGCAACTGAAGGGTGAACAAGTTGTAACTCTTGGCCTAGTGTGAGGTAACCTATTTTAAGACAACTTCGTGAGAGAATGAAACTCATTAATTCCTGGAAGATAGACCACATAGAGGAAGTGAATGGACTTTGTCGGCAATTAGAGCATTCTCGGAGTGGTTTGTGGTTTCAAATATGACTACAGGAACCGCAAACTACTTATGGTAGTAATATCTGGTTTGCTGAAGAAGTGATGACTAAGTCTGTCGTGTTAGTTAGGTCTATGAAATATTCATGCCACCGGAAACAGACAAAATTCCAACGAACGAAATTGGCACATTGCAAACATTGCAAACATTTCTTAATTCCTTTATCTGAGGTGTATGTATCCCGACCGTGTACAGTCCACAGACTGATCGATTTAGTATGCTAAGGAGTGCTTTAATTTTAAGATACGGTGAACTTCGTCATGATTTCGTCGGTGAATTTACTCCGCTGAGATCGGCAATTTGTACTTTTCCAGTAATGAGCAGAGACAACCACATCCAACGGTGTACAATCTTCTGATAGTTTCCCTGATAAACTTGAAACTGTGTTGTTTTGGAGGGCGTGTGTGAAATGATAATCACCGGTTGCCCGGGGAAGTCCCTTCCATCGGATATCTGTGAACCCCTGTTGGTGAGCCACTAATGTTGGTTGTATAATTGCAGTAATGAACCAGTTTATCTTAACGGGGGTTTAAATCAAGATCTGGGATAAGATGGATCTTCCAGTTTAGTAGTAGTTTAGTAAGCAGAAGTTTCCAACCCACCCAACAAACTGCGAATTGAAGATATCTCCTCGTAAGGTGACGAGGAAAACAGATCAACGGCCACCTGATCAACAACCAAGAAGTCTCCAACCTTTGTGTTTACGAGGGTGATTCCCTTGATCTGATAGAATTGTTGTGAAACTCCATAGGTTTCTCTGGAATGCTGGTTTCTAATAATAAATAATGAATAATCGTTCAGCTGTAACACCCCTCCGATGCCTAGCTGCCATACCACCCGTAGGAAGCGCGAGGGCTGGGATACTGCCAGGTTGCCCAGGCCTAGCCAGGGGAAGTCGAGTGGCGGAGGTCGGATTCGAACCACGAACCTTCCCGTTCAGTAATTCGCACTCTACCCACTTGATCAATCTAGGGTAGTCATGGCTCCGTCTGGCTGGTTTTTGTTGCCACCTGTTGCTGGCAGTGTAGCAGGCTGCCATACAATGTGTTATTCCGATCAGCTACAAAGATTCGATTGAAGTCACATTTTGCTTGTATTGTACAAGTGATCAGACCAATGTTAAAAGGTCAAGTGACAACAGAGTCTAACAATGTTTTTTGGGCTCGGAAAAACCCCGCAATTCTTCACACATGGAGTTTTATTCCCTACAGTATTACATACATGAAAGGGTGGAAGAATTCCGGTGGAGAAACTTGAGCTAGTTAAAACTCTTTGTTTTGTATCTTTAGTGAGAACGGCCGACAATGTGATCCTTACAATACAACCTGTGGATTGACTTGTAGTCAGAATATTTTTTCTTAGACAGGAAGGCTGACGTCGTCTGCAGTCTTCTGAGTGTCTATGGAGATGGCGCCATTGATAAGAGCATTGCGCACAGATGAACGGAGAATTTTGGAGAAGAGGGAGAGAGCTGTCGATGAAAGCAAATCGCAAGGTTGCAGGAAGTCTGCGACCAATAACACAAATCTTCATGTAGTTGACAAATTGCTTCACGCTGACAGACGAGACATAATCCGTGAGATAGACAGTAAGGGAATTCGGACATAATTGTGTACGGGATGCGGCGGAAAGCACACGGATTCGGAACATATGTGCAAGTGAATGGAGGGAAAGATAAAATCTATCCTGGTTATACCGGACGCGTGGAAAGCTAAGCTTAGAAGATTTCCTATATGGCGACGGGGATAAGTATCTTCACGATTCGGAAACGAAGAAAAAAATATGAAGTGGCTTCTAGTCAAAGACGTTCAGCGGCAAAAAGCGATGAAAGTAGATGTGTGAAAGCGAACGCAACCTGCGTTTCTCCAAGGGAATTTGGACAGTTTGGTCCCTCATTTGGGAACGGTATTGTATCAACGAGCGTTTGCTCTCCAGACATGTGGAACCTGGGAGACGTATTTCAACTGATTCAAAATTACTCGTTAATTCTGATCCAACTGTGGCGTAAAGTCAACACGGATCGTCGATTTAGTGATCTGCATATGG